TAATTCTGAAAAAATAACTCTTTAGGCTGGATTTACAAATTACAATGCAACTGTGGGAAATATCATAGAAGAAAAACCGTCACGAAGAGAACAAAGATCAACGTGTCAAGCTGGAGAAGATGAATAACCACGGAAGTGGAAACAAAGAAGAAAATAAAGTTTCCCTGTAGCTAAATCAAAACACAATGTGAGAATACTTCTGGGACTGTGCAGCATGCGGTTAAGCAAGGACACTGCCCGGATGGTCTGAGTATAGCGGCATCATCAAAGAGAGACATTGGTTACAGAGGAGGATAAAGAAGGCATTAATCATTCAATCCTGCCGTGACAAAGAATATGAACTCTGAGCGGATTGGATGAACTTTGGTGCCCATGTAGCAAAAACTATTTAATCAGCAGCACGGACTGAAGGGTTGCCTTTTGGCTCTGTAACTATCACCTGCTGTAAACGACCAGCCGTATTCATGAACTTCTCCACCAACCCATCTTGAAAGAAGGGCCATGGGACATGGGCCACAATGTCAGTACTGGTTAGTCACGGGATCAATAAAACGATACAACATACCTCCGCGCTACTCCGGCTATCCGTGACCAGAACTTCAGCGTCAGATGATGATGTAGGTAATGCATGATCCTAAAACTTTAAAACTTATTTTGCAAAAAACAATGAGGGATGTGAAGCACAGAGCTGAAACAAACATTACGTTGAAAATTTTCAACATTACAGACTAGATGCCTTCTGTCGTAGCCGCTCTTATTTTAAGAAACATATTCTTCTGTGGTGCCAGTTAACATTTTAAACAAATGGGGACACTGTACACAATCAAGCCCACCTCTTCCAATACAGTATATCGTGTTGCCGGTCACACAGCACATCCGCAAGATTCACACGTGTTGATACATTTTCTACAGCAAATGCATTACTCCAGCTTCAGCAAGCGTTCTCAGGGATTGTATAACGAATCTATGTAGCATTATCTGCCACAACTCAATGCTGCATACTCGTTTTCCCCATTTACTATTTATACCACAATGATCTCGGTACTATTTACCGACCACTTATGTTCTTTGCGGAATTGAAAATACTTGATAACGTCAGTGTTATAATTCATCATATCTTTTTGCCTTCTACATTCTTATGTATGAATGCTGAAAAATAACGTTCCTTAGTTACTTCGTTCAAGCAATAAAACTTTACACATATAGTTCCCAGCAGTTACTCCTTTGTTCCAAGTCATTGCGTTTCTTACGTTGCAGTTACAGTACCATTATCATATGTAATTCTTTTGTATCCGTGTGGTCTTTCCAGGTCTGTTCAGAGTTAAGGGATTCCACGTAGTACACATATATGCATAAATCTATATATAAATTTAGACATGCACAGAACATTCAAAATGTCTGGAGGGAAAATAAAATGACATTGAACAGAAAGTTGTCTGAAATACAGCGGAGACCGCTAACGATGAACGACGTTAAATGTTTGTCACAAGCAATGGTGCAGATCGGTGACATTTTGCACCGCATTAAATGCTGATGTTATGCTACTGTCCGCTTACCGTAATCTCAGGCTCAGTGTTTTCGGTCATACGTTTCTGAAGATCTTGAAATTTTCCATTTATGACAGACAACTGAGCACTTTGATGCAAAACCTTGCTGTGCAGTTGTTCCGCGAGATTCCACACCTGAATCATTGTTTCTGAAAGAGGTCCCTGCAAAAGTTGACTAGCTTATATTTAAGAGTCAAATACGAATCTGTCACCTGCGAAGCCGATGCTGACTGACGAGCGTCGGCACCTTTTGGGCAACTGATTAGGTCTGGCAGGCTAAAGAGGACAAAAGTGTACAAACGTTTTTAATTCAAACAATTTGGTTCAGCTGAACAAGCAAATATTCTGAACTTCTACATTACAAAATAGAGACATCTCTCTTCACGCGAGTAAGGTGTACTTCAACAAGTTCAAAAGGAAATGCCAAACGGTTAAACGACAAAAAGCAGGTAGAATAGGAATGACTATTCATCTTATAATTTAGCTGATAATAAAACTATCACGCCATATATTACATCTTTAAGCAGCAAAACGAATGTCTCCAATTGTAGACAAATCAACTTGCTGCGGTCAAATGCAAATTTTATAAAAATGGCAGTGATGAAAATCGAATACAACGTACCGTAAGTCACTTTCGTTGAATTCTTCTGACAGCAGCAACACTTTCAGAGATTCATGAAAATGGGAAATTCTAAAATAAATTACAATGCAACTTACAACTGATTAGCACTGGCAGTCATTGTGTATTCAGTTTAATTACTAGAGTGACTGAGAAGGAACGTCACTATCCGCGAACCAGTAAGCTATAGACGAGTGGTATGTTAAGTGGGTTAAACCAAATTTTGTTTTAAATATGCCATGGCTTTATACAAGATTTATCCATTAGACAAGTGTCCAAACTAGGAAGGAAAATTACCAGTATTAAGAAGGACCTGCGCATTCACCTCTGAGGGTGTACAACTATAAAAATAACTGTATGTAAATTATAGCATTTACGATCCACTGTTCACGTTTCAGTTCAGTACTACAGCAGCTAAGAAAGACAAAAATTGATTAGTTTTCACTGGAAAATGCTGCGGTAGAAGCCCGTCCCGTGGGGAAGATTTTTCGTCATATGCAGATGATGACACATTACCGGAGAATTTTTATTACCCACAAGAGTACACAGCGCACAATAGCAACTCCTCTCTACCACTCTACCACATATCAACAACGTACAACACAAGTTTAGAGTAGTGAACCGACGGTTTTCTGATTGAACTGACGCTTTTGCACCGTTTCTACATCAACACGTTCAAATCAACGCGCTTACCACTGTATTGTATTGCTCAACATTAACTCCTATCATGGGCGGCAATCTGCAACCTCTGACCTCCACATTGCCGTCTCGTCGGGTGCACTATTTGCACAACCAGGCGAAAACGGAGCTAAATTTTGGACCACAGATAGCCGAGCTTGGCTTTAAGTGACAATGCTAGTAAGAGCTGAATTACAAAGAAACCCACTCCATGCCATGGTCCCTTGGCTTGGATTAATAAGGCTTGCTTAATCTTCCTCAGTATGAAGCTGCCTTTACACATTAACTTCAACAGTGTGCCGCCAATCTATTTTCTGCCACACTGTACTGTGTCCTTGCAGAGTAATTTGCTCGTCAGTCGTCTTTCATGTTCTGCATAGAGAATACATAGTAGAAAGTACTATTCGTTACAATATCATCTTGTTACATTTGATAAGAACTCGGGTAACTACGTGCGTCGTTGTTCCATTAAGGAAACGGCTTTCCAATATCACGGTATGTTATTTAGGCTGGTTATGGCTTTGTCATGGAACGAGTTATGATGCGGTTCTTGTCTTTCGTCCTATACTCACCACTCAAACTCGTTGAAACGAAATGGAGAATTATGTCGTATTGATGAGGCGCATGAGAGTATTCTAACCTACATGAAGTATCAAGATACCATTTGCAAGAACTTGCTACTGGTTATAGAATAGGCCAATTTTTTCTTCGATAGCAGCATCTGTTGGAGCATAAACCTGCATAAACACGATGTTGTATAGAATGGCTTTCAGCAGGATGGATATCAGTCGGCCGCTAACGAAGCTGTAATGTTACCGGTATTTGATTTTAGTGTTCATCATCCATAAAACCAGTTTTATAATTAAGAGTTTCAGTTCCATAGGAGATTATCGACCTAACCACGAGCCGTCAGAACATTTCGCTTCCAAGCATGCAACTACGTCCAATTCTGTGACTGCCACTCTATGCTGAAACAGATCAGACGTTCGTCGCTCAAAATTTCCTGCTTTGCACAAACAGCAGATTCAATATTATGTCATTTTGGTATTGGAAGGCAACTGGGAACAGCACCTTTCTGGTAGTGATATCATTCCACAGTCAAACACTGAGCAAGAAGATGTAAATTAATGAATAATCCGGAAGAAACAGTATCTTATCAGGATTCCATATCCTGATTCTTTCAAACAGAAATTCTGAAAGTCATATAAGAACTTAGTTTGCACAAATATACAGCAATCAGTTAGTATAAATGGAATTTCAGAAAGCTTGCCTGTGAACAGCACATTTTAGAACTTGAAGCTTCTAAACTTTCCCAACAAAATTTAAGAGGTTGTCATCGAATAGAGTGAGGTATCCGTTAGGTAAAATAACATGTAGGAAAGTGGTTTGTGTAAGATTAGGTATATGCTGGAAGGACAATCAATTGCAACGTTTAAATATGCATATCGGAGTAGTAACGGTGTACATTACTAAATATCAGATAGACACTTGATAGTATTCACCACTAGTACAATGGAATGAGCCTCCAGTGTTTAGACACAAATCTAGAGTTAAGTCAAAAACATGGAAAGGTATTACAAATAATATTTTCCAATTCAGTTTGAAAAAACTGGAATCACCAGGACCTTAAAAACATTCATTCGACTAAACTGGGAGCACTGTTTGAGTTCTTTAGTCTCAAGAAGCACTAATGATCGAAGCTACACGTAACAAGTACCGAATTACCAAAGTTTCTTTAGTTCAAAGAACAGCCACTAGCCAGAAAACTGCATCCTCGAAAGGTAGGCTTCGAGTGCCGGCGGCGAATTTCTCGTGAATAACTTCGGTACAACTAGCCAGGAAACTGGCAGCATTTGTTGACTTGTAAATAACAGCGATAGCGCGGCCTTATGGTCTGGTCATACTAGACTGGACGAAATCTATGCCATGCTGTCCAGTGAGCATGTCACTGGACTTTGACTTGACTCATCTGTTAACCACCAGTGTGATAAAAAAGAACAAGGTGCAGCCAAAATATATTTAAACGCTGTCCGTGCTTTATTACCGATAGTATTTAGATTTTAATATCATCACTTACTCACAGAGCCTCTGTTCCAGCTCAGCGTGTTTAGCTTTGAACTGCTCTGCTTCTTCAGTCTTTTGTAATGTCATCAAATCCATCAACTTCTGTGTATTGACCAGCTCCTTTTGTAGAACGATAACGTCATCTTCCGTAGGCCTGATATCAACAATACTGAAAAAGGTTAACGCAAGCACGATCACAACCGTCCATTCAGATCACATTTCAGCGAACGTATCTCTTCGAATGATTTCTTGACATGTGCTTTCAACTGCTCGTTTTGAACGGTCAGTTTTTCCACCTCCATTTTCAGCCTCATTCCCTCATCAACGGCGACGGACAGCTGTTGGGAGACGGCTTCATTTTCTTTCTTCAACGCATGGCTTTCGGCAGCTGCGTTTTGCGCAATTTCCTGCTGTCTTCCAACTTCACTGTTCACTAAAATCATCTGGAGATCAATAGCGAATAAAATGGTCAACCGGATGAGGGCAAAAAGCAATAATTGAATTCGAAAAATGACTCAAAATTATCATCTGCAACAGACAGAGAAAAAAACAGATACTTTGCAAAGTTTAATGATGAATTCTTACATAGATGCATGGAAGACAACACTGTTTCAACGGTTCATTTTTCAATACCACAAAACGAAACTCTCACACACAGGGCGATCAGACCACGGCCAAGTATATATTTCTTTACCAACCGAGCGGCATTAGGGCTCTGACAAAGTCTGCGATACCCAGAACTAATACTTGCAAGTCTCACTTGATGAGAACATCAACGACATCAATGTGGTTTTAAAAGAATTACACCTTAAACGAGATTATATCGCTGCGCTGCCTGACTACTACTTTAAAGCTGTCCAAGCCTGATCAGCATCCTGCTCAATACCAGAAAAAAAGCCATCGAAATGGAAGGAAGATTTTCTGTGCATCTAACGGTGCATTGAAGCAAACATAGCAAATATGAATCGCTGAATTCATATGGCGCACGCTTTATCCCATTATCAGTAACAATAACAACAACCGCCAGACACTGTGAACTTGTGCAACAAAAAAACATTGCCGTACTGAGAGTATCAGGCACGAAATCTGTTCAGTCCTTATATAACCGATGCGCCTGGCAGAAAGTCTAAAATTTACACGCACAAAACGCAAAACGCTAAAATTATAAAAGATCAAAGAAATTTTAAAAGCTGACTTTGTCATCCTGCTTCTCGCCCTAATTTAAGAGGGACGTAGCATATCACAGATCCAAAAGGAATAAAACATGAAAGCACTGAAAGTCACTGTTGG